CATTAGTCGATAAGCTTCTTCACGAGTGTATCTCGACTTGCAAGCAAGATGCTCGGTACCGAAATGACGTCAGATTTCTCACGATCTGGTTTCTCTACGTAATATTCCACCTTCGACACCAACCAACCGTGTCGGTCTCGCTGGTCTGTACCACGAAGCTTCCATGCTCACCTTCGAAGGTCAGAAGATCCAGTGCATCGTCGCTAAGCTCATATAACTGTTGATAAGCTTCTCCTCTCTGCTTCGATTGTAAACCATGACAACACTTATTGGCTTTTGCTTCCTCTTGTCTTTTAATCGGACAAGATCTACCTTTATCTACTTGTAGATGACGTCATCAATGATTCGTCTCAAAGTCTGTGTCTCGGAAACAGAGTATCTGGTTTCCTTCCTCCATCGTTACAACAATATCTCCGATTCAATGCCCTGAACACCTCTCTGTCTTAAGCGTAACTAAAAAATGATTCCTTTTCACAAACCCATGAGTTTTGATTTCGTATTTGCGTTTTCCAATTACTTCAGCGCGTTAAAAACATGTATTTCAGTGCGTTAAAGACGTGTGATATTTTGTATTTGTGGTTAAAATACTTCGTCTGAGTATATTATCATATTATCAAAGTCTCACACGCCTTAAACGCGCCGAAATACATGTTTTTAACCACATATTTGAAGGAAAAACATGATTCCTTTACACACTCAAAAGAAACAAACTTTTCACAAACCCATGAATTTTGATTTCGTATTTGCGTTTTCCAATTACTCTGTTTTTCAGTAGTCGGAAAACAGAGACAATGTAATGACGATCATAGTCTCGGCTTTACACACAACCGGGTGGGTCGTCTCCGGTAATCAGCAGCTCGCCGGCGAGAAGCACGCCCTCAAGTTCAGCCAGGTTTTCTACCCTTTCATCTTTTCTTTCTTTTTACCTTTTTCTTTATTTTTAAAAATTGTTTCTTTCTCTTACAAAATCAATTATTAATTTTAATTGTTCATAGGATATTGTAGCCATTCATTAGATGGTTAAGAATAGATTCAAATGAATAGTCTCTCATATTGTATAATACAATAATAACTATAGTTTAGTTACGTGACCAAAAAGAAAACTATAGTTTATTTACGTGATCAAAAATAAAACTATAGTTTAGTTTAACTATTTATTTAAATTTAAAACTATAAAATAAAATATGTATCAATCCTAAGCAACAATTCTGAGTTTCTAAAAAAAAGCCCAAGGTATATCAGTTTGCTTTTGCCTTTTTGTGTTTAACCCAACTAGCTCGATCCAGATGTGCTTACCTGTGCCATGAACAACAAGTAATAAAATCTGACATATCCATTTATGTTTGTTTTGCGCATAACTTTTTCTAAAAAAAGTAAAGAAAGTTAATCAATTTTCAACCTAATTGAGAGAACAAAATTTTACCCATTGTATCTTGATGATCACCATGAACAACAAACTTATCACAACCAGTGTCACTATCACATCACATATAAATTTGCGGGATGGTCTCCACTTCGAATTCATGAGGTCGCGAGGTAAGCAAATTTTTGTGTTTTGTAATGAAACTCCCCCAGTCGGGATTGGACTCGGAATCATGATTGCCTCTGTCTACATTGCTGAGATATCCCCCACCGTAGCAAGAGGCTTTCTCACGTCCTTCCCTGAGATCTTCATAAACCTTTTCTGGGAAATGATGCTAGTAGTCGTTTATATTGGGGTCCCTGAAGGACATCCTCGAATTTTGGTTGATGGAAGCTTATCTTTGCAGAAATCTGTACAAGTAAATGCAGAAAATGTAACATTATTAATATTAATATGAAAGGTAAACATTATTTTTGTTGTTTTCAGTATTTCTGAATAATGAAAAAAAAAAAAAAAAGTGTATGTTTGTACTGGCATGTCCAATGTTTCTGAACTTGACTCTTGGTTGATAAGATATCAAATCTATTTCCCCATACAATTTCGATGACGTGTGTCCCAAGTTTGTGATAAACAGAGATTTGGTTAAAAGAGTTGGGTCAACCCTACTCATCTTACACGATAATAATATACTCTTCAACTACACACATAAGATGAGATTAACTAGTTGAAAAGACAAGTAATACAATTTTGTGTTTAAAATAAGCAAGTAGAAAATTAAAATAAAACATAAGAGTATTTTCACTGCAACCAACGTACAGAAGCAAGCTATTACATTACACATAATCAATCTCCGGCTTTAGGCTTTTTATGTTTTGGGCTTTCGCTTCCGCTTCCGCTTTCGTGATCGTCATCGCAACCAAAACCGTATACTCCTTGATCCAATAGGTATGCTGGCCAATCACGGAATTCTGGGACAGTGTCATTCGCCGGCCTTAGTATTAAACTACAGCAACCTCTCTCCAGCAAAGTTCCAATGACATTATACATCTCCGTGTTGATTTTACCTGCTACGATCAAATGTGCGTGACGCGGATGTTGGATTAACCAAAAGAGAATGTCATTTAACATTCTCCCATGTCTAGCGGCGGGACTATCCACTGGAAA